AATTTCATTGTGAAATATTAAAAAGTTTTGTATTTGTAGTACAAATATACTGTATAATGAATTTATTAATACTTCAGTTTCTTAAAGCTACGTTCCCGGAAAAGTATTTATCGGGTGGTTATTTCGAATAAAAGTATGACAATTTTGGTATATATGGAAAGTAGAAATATCCAATCTTACTAGAAAAATACTGGATTCCCTGAAAAACACTCATGGAGCGCATACAGGACAAAAATGTAAGGGTTTCCCTAATCAACAGCCCAACGATTAGGAGTGTCTGCACGCGTGACTTTGAAGGTTGCACGCGGAGATTGACCGCTTGATGTGCATTTTGATAAACTTTATGAAGAATTAGACGTACAACACTTTCTGAGATAAAAATCACGGAAAAAGACGCTGGCAGTGGATAATCCGAAAATTTAATTAGGCTTCGATATCTATACTAATATTTGTGACTGTCGTTTGTTTGTCTGTCTGTTTGTCTGTCTGTCTGTTCGGGGTTGGCGCCTACACTAGGTCTGACCCGAGTCTGAAATTTGGGGTATAGGGGTAGCTTGGCCAGGGAGTAACATAAGCCAGGTGGCGTTAGTCTACCACTTCTGGTTTCGGGGTTATGACCCCTGAGCGAAGCCGGGCATTCTGCTAGTTTGTAATAAATAGTCAGCGATTAAAGACATCGTCTTGTGTATGCAATGAATTCTCCTCCGACTTCGCTTGCGTTGCTAGGTACCGAGAGAGGTAAGTCACGTGACACGAACATGACCTCTTTTGATCGATTTTTTATAGCCATGGTATTCCCAGACAATTGCAATGTTTTGAGAAGGATTTGAAGCAAAATTATGATAAATTAATTAGTTTGAATATGTTTTTAGTCCAAATATATCATCAAGTCACCCAGTTTGTACCTGGGAAGGTATCTTTAAAGAGGCATTAGGTAAGATTAGATAAAGAGCTGACAGTTCTCGCTATAATAATTAACAATTAGATAATGAAAAGGGAATATGCTGAAAATTTCAGTAAAATTACTTCACTCTTAACTGCGTTAACATGGTTAGAAGAACATTGTATCCTTGATTGTCATTGCTACCATGATTACAATAATAAACAAAGTATCTGTTGTCCATTTTTACGGTAAATCATCAACAGAAAAACATATTTAAATCTACTTAACCCATTAAGCGAGATGTTTTTAAAACGTTAACTACCCCCTATTGTGTAATTAATTTGACGAAGTGACAAAGAACTATGAACTATTTTCTAAGAATAGGTTGGGAAAATACCTCCAAGGCGTTATATTACGCCCTACACACAGTGAGTTGCAGTTGTCCAGGATGTAATATAACGACCTACGCACTTAACGAGTTAATATTGGAGCCATCCGGTGGCACCAAGAGATGTTTATGGTCTTGGTAAGTTAAAGGTGCATTATGGGAGATTAGATAAAGAGCTGACAGTTCTCATTTAAATAGTTGATAAATAGATAATGAAACCAGAATAGGCTGAAAATTTCAGTCAAATTGCTTCACTCTGAACCAAGATATTAGTGATTGAATTTTAGGCTAGCCTCGATCGTCATTACTAACGTTGGTACGATAATAAACAAAATCCTGATTATCCATTTTTCCGTTAAATCATCCATCACAAAACGTATTCAAATTCACAGGCTAGTAATGGCATCAAGAGTTTATTATGATCTTGACAAGTTAATTAATGATTTGTATAACATTTGAGGCCTAAAGAAAGACCTGCAATAGGCAGATTTAGCTCTTGCATAATGTCTCACTGATCAGCAGTGAATTTTCGCTAGGCCGCTACAATCACTGATAAGGATGACATTGATGCGACTTAATGAGCCAGAAATATTAACTTTTTTCCTGCGACAAATTAAATTCTAAAAAATTTTTTTTATTTATTAGAAAAATAAATAAAGGCGTTTGACGTATTTGTATGTAAAAATTATTTCCTATTTAGTGGGTATTAAAATGACAGAAAGGCAGCATTCCGCCCAAAGCAGTAACGTCTTATGTAAACAATGCACGCGCCATTCAGCCAATGATTGACGCCGCGTGATGTGACGGCAAGTGTTAAGGCAGTCATCTTTGACAGAGATATTACTAGACTCGTAATTTTCTGTGAAACAGATTGGCATAATTCATCTTTAAATAGAATTTCACTGAGAAATTTTGAACTATAAAAAATGAAACGAAATAGGATCTGTGTTTTAATCAGATTGATAGTGTTTAATTTACATGTTCATCCAGGATTTTGTTTTAAAGTGGAAGGATAAGGAGGTAAACAGACATGAATTAGGTGAGAGAGAGAGAGAAATGGGGTTTAACATCCACTCAACACAAACTAGGTCATTTCGGGACTAACATATGTTTTAATTTTATTTCAATAATTCGCTTGCGTGTAGGGGTCTGTAGCAGTGGGAGGAAACCGGAGGACCCGGAGAAAACCCATGAGTTTGGACAGGCGACCCTACTCCTTGTCACGTACAACCGGTGATTCGAAACCACGCCAGTCGACTCAATGACAGACTTTATGATACAGCGCGCACACGCTAACGATTTAGCCATTTAACCCCCCTGAGAATATTTGAGAGTTTTGCATTTGTAGCGCAAATTTTATGAGTATTTCAGTAGTTTAAAGGTACCTTCCTGCATACGAACTGTGTAATTTGATGATATATTGGGACTAAAAACATATTAAAATTAATTAATCTATCAAAAAATTTGCTTCAGATCTCTCTCAAAAGTTTGTATTCGCAAGGAGATACCCCAAGCTATGAAAAAACTTTTTATAGAAGCTATATTTGTCACCTAACTTGATTGAGGGAGAGCCTATTTTTTCAGATTGTATTGTCATTACTTACTGTCCATTTGCCAAACATATCGAAGCCTAAGTGAAATCTTGAATTATTTTCTGCCATCTTCTTTTACCGCCGTTTAATTGCAGAATCGGTTTTCTGTTTACAACCCTCAATGTTACCAAAACTGCCTAACTATTTGATCAAGAGATAACAACTGCTCCCTAAGTCAAGCTGGCAGAACCCCTCATTGTTCCCAAAACTGCCAAACCATTCGATCAAGAAATAACATCGGGTTGCCAGTTAGTGACACCCATACGTTTTTGCCCCATGGGTGTTTTTTCGGTTAATCCAGTATTTTTCTAGTAAGAGTGGATGTTTCTACTTTCCATATATACCTCATTTGCCATACTTTTATTGGAAATAACCACCCGATAAATACTCTCTTAAGAATGTATCTTTAGATAAAATGCGATTGAAAGCAATATTTTAAACAAACATTATGTAAGAGCTAAATCTGCCTATTGCAAATCTATCTTTAGGCCTGAAATGTTATCTAAATTATTAATTATCCAGACCATAATCAACTCTCGATGTCATCTTATTGGTCAGATTTTCTCAGGATTTGAATTTGATTTGCTGCTCAGTGCTCATTAATGATTTAATCCAAAACTGGATAAGCGAGACTCGGTTTTTTATCGTAATAATGATCGAGGTTAGGCCTAAAATTCGAACGGTAATATCTCGGTTCTGAGTGGATCAATTTGTCTGAAATTTTCAGCAAATTGCCTTTACATTGTCATTATCTAGTTTTTAACTATTATAGTGAGAACTGTCAACTTGTTATCTAATCTTCCATAATTTATCTTTAAGAATTTTGTACTTGTAGCACGAATATATATTATTTTAAAACTTTATAAATACTTGATAGAAATTGTGTAAGTGACCATTTGAAATGTGACAGCTGGTTGCAATTTAGAATTGATTTAAATTCAAATTAGTATCGTAAAGGTATATAAAGTAAACCTAGAATTACATTAAAATAGTATTTTAGCTGACCTGGTTTTTGGATACAGCATAACTACTGCTGACAGGGGATCTACAGGGGTTAGGGTTAGAAGGTGGGGGGAGAGAGAGATGGGGTTCAACATCCACTAATATATGGTTCAATTTTATTTCAATAAATCGCTTGTGCCTAGGGGTCTTTTACTAGTGGGAGGACCAGGAGAAAAAACCATGTGGTTGGACAGACGACCCTACTCCTTGTCACATACAATCTGGGAATTGAAACCATGCCAATGACAGACCTTATGATACAATGCGCTCACGCTAACTCACAGAGTTATATGAAGGCCTACATGTCACGGAGGGGAGCCTACATAGCTAGATTTCTAAGGGGGTCAGTTTGCTCCAGAACCTCCTGCCAGAGGGATCCCCCACATTGCCTTTATTAGAAAGATGTGATGTTTACTAGTTTTATTGGGGACGTCGGGGAAATAAAAAGATGGAACATAAAAAATGTAGTGAACTTTTTTCATGATCAGGTTTTCTACTCTAGAGAATCTCACATAATGGTTGTTTTTAATAAATCATTTATCAATCATTTTATTTTTATTTATTTATTTTTTTCATTGAATTTAATTTCAATGTTGAATTACCTGCACCCCCTACCCCCGCACCAATGTCTAGTTAGTCATTCTAGAGATTTAGCTTTCCCAATATTGGAATTGATTCCCCAGCCCCTAAAATGATGGCCATGCACTTAAATATATAATTTTAATAATCCCAAATGTAAAATGTTTGCCTGAATTTTAGTTGATCATGCTACTTTTGTTTGAAATTCTCTTAATTATTGTCGGGGACATTTTTTTTTTTATACGGCACTAAAAAGTTGTATCTCTGGACATACTGCCTAATAAGTCGCTGAAGAAGAACAAGACATGATAATAAGAGATTTATTGACATTCTTGTATAGTTTAAGGTTTCCATTATTAACAGTTAATGGTCGATATATAACCAATTTAGTGTTATATAATAAGTTTTTAATTAGGAACAGGTATGTATTGATATTTACCGTGCATTATAGCCTATATCTACCGGTGTATATTAGGTATATGTATATATGGATATACAGTACACACCTGTAGTAATAGTATATATATATAACTTCTGTTATTCACTGTGTTTACAGGCTTCTAGTGTGTTGTGTTGTGTTGGTCTAGCAGAAGTTACTATGCAATGAGAATGGAGAGAGTTGATTGAGCAGGAGTGTCGAGTTGGGAGATAGAATGACTGCGTTAGTGCAGTACAAGTAAGTCTATTTATTAGTCCGTAATTCAAATTATCACTTAGGAATATTTGTTTTACATTTAGGTTGTTGATCGAAGTTTTATTTAAAGTGATGCAGAACCTGGTGTGAGATATTTATGACATGATTTAATAATTTACCAACAGTATTTTTTTTTAGTTTCATTTTATTGATATTGATGTTATTGTATGAATACGCTAATGCTCACACTTTATCTGTGAATACTTGCATTTAAGTGATTTATAACAGTTAGGTTGTTCAATAAGTCTGCAATGGTTCTTCAATCTTTTAATTACTGGAACTTATCTCTTACAAACGACAATAATTCAATACATACAACGTACACTTACAGCACAGTGGATGACTGACATAGCTTCTACTATAAGTCGGGTGACTTAATGACTTGCCTATTGATGCACATTAGCCTTTTTATATTCTAAAAAATGGATAAGCTCAAGTGCTGACATCAAAACATATACTATACAGGATTATCACTAGAGACAGTAACATTAATAAACAATAATGGATTAAATACTTAACTAATTAGCTTCTACCCTGATGGATATCAAACCATGACACATTAAATACTATCTTAAACTGTCTGCTCATATAGGTTTATCAAAACTATAAGAATGGATTTTATGCTATTCAATGTCATTTAAAACTTGTACTATATGATGGACTTGATCCTTTATCAACAACATTATTCTAATTTTCTAATATTTGAATTCAAATAGTTAATTATTTTATGGTATTCAACTAAAACTTGTTGAATTTGATTTTTTTGTATTTTATAATAGATGAGATTATTTAAGTCATGGACCTGACACTGTAACCCGGGTATCATTTAATCTTGTGTATTTAGCACTAATTTTTTTCACATTCATTTAATATCAAAACGTTGTTTAAAAATTTGTAAAAACCATTTAAAATGCCCCCTAGTCATCTAATTTGTACTTTTGTCCAGTTTAAAGCTGACCAGTTAATTTTGATAATGAGTGTCTAATTTACAAATGATTAATTTCCTGACCACAACCCAATTGATTATTGATGTATAATGATTAATTTTTGGTGATTCTAAACGATTTTTACGAATTTTTAAACAAAGATTTGATATTGAATGAATTTGGAAGAAATTCGTGCTAAATACACAAGCTTAAATGATACCTGGTTTACAGTGTTACACATCCATGGTTAATTCAAATCGACTGATGTTTAAAAATAAAGGAAATGTATTTTGTTTACGGTATCCCTAACTACTCAAAAATACCATGCCATTTTATTGGTGTGAAAATGTCATTTATTGAATTAATAGACAAAGACATAAATTTATACGTAAAGAAAATGAGTCCTTATTTGTAAATAGACACATATTTAAATGTGCACAACACCTAAAAAAAATGTTAAAATGTTATTAAACCGGTGTTGAATTTTACCGTGAAACAAAGTAGTGCAGCTTTGGATTATAATATTTTTGGATACATAAAGACATACATGTGTACATTACATGAATTTTATACACAACAAATAACTAACATGGATATAATTTTATGGATACACAATTACCAAGTTTAATACAAAACGACGTTTCGATGAGCATACTCTCATCTTTATCATTTGCTTGATAAATTACTAAATGCCAATCAAAGAAAAAATAACTAAAATACTACTAATTGTTGGACTAAATAATTCCCCTCAAAATACGCCAAACAGAGACGAGTCTGAGATGTTATCATATATATAGTCTGTCATTTGAATGGGATGGTCTAGTGATCTAGAGTGTTGCACTTCGACCTCTAGCTGGCCGGTCACCTATGGCTTGAGGTTGTGATCTCGATCCCTGCTGTGAGCGCATGTGGTTTCCTCGCACAAGAAAGACCCATGTGCGTGCGGCAAGATAATAAAAATGAAAATAAGACTTGTCTGCGATATCACTGTCCTGTCTTCTTTTAACGCTAAAAAAAAGTAAGACATTGTTAAACCAATTCATTTATATTCTGAAATGTTTTCTATGAAAATGATTGTGTACACTGTCATAATATATTAATGATTGGTGGGTTGGAAATAGTCTCCCTTGAGACGTCATTTAATTCTTTATTGATACACTCGGAAAGTTTTCTTTGAAAGACATTGTCGTCTGCTTGACATATTAAGTTACCTGTGTAAACACTGACAAATCTGCATTAAGTCTTCAAAGACTGCCTGCCAATGGAGTATGAGGCAACAGGTGGTTCTATTATAGAAATTTATTTCTTTATTCTAGAATAGAAATATCGGCCGGCTATTATTGACAACAAATTGACTTCACTTTTATCATGTGTAGACGCAGGCAGAAATGTTTGTTTTTTGATTGCAAGGCAGGTCGATATTACGCATGCAGCACTTTCTGTACGAGGATTGAATTCTATTTACACACACTATTAAACCTAGTTGGCACTTGTTTGCATTAAACTCATTCCACAATATAATAAATCTTAAATATGCACCATTTTTCATATCTATATGTCTATATTTGATTCAGTTTCAGACCGGCCTGTTGAAGGTCTTTCTTTATCTAAATTATCAATTAGACATTAATTAACATATCCAGACAATAATCAACTCTCGATGCTATCGTTAGCCTGTGATATTTAGGGAATTGGAAGTACATTTTTTAAAAATAATTAAACATAAAAATGGATAATTCACACTTTGTTTTTTTGTCATACCGACTTTAATAATGATGATCCAGGCTAGCCTAAAATTCAAATGCTAATATCTCAGTTCATAGTGGAACAATTTGACTGAATTTTTCAACATATTTTATTTACATTATCTATTATAGTGAGAACTGTCAACTCTTTATCTAATCTTCCATAATATATCTTTAAAGATGCATTATGGGAGAGCTAAAATCGACCTATTGCAGGTCTTTATTTGGGCTTCAAATGTTATATAAACTATAAATTACACTTTTATTAACAAAACAGACTAACTCTCTGAGATTTGAATGGATTAGATCGCCATCGAGATTTACAAATTTAACGATAAATTGGATAATGGAGACTTAGTCTCGGTTTTCCAGTACTGTTGCTATAATAATAAACAATCTACGATACATTTTCTAACATTTATAACTTCACTCAGAATAAAGTAATTTGAATGAAATTTTCAATGTCTTCATAAACATCAATGCACACATCCTGTCAAATCTACTTACATTGATAACTGTGCTCAAAATAAAGTAATTTGAATTAAATTTTCAATATATTCATTTATCTATTTTTAAACTAAATGTAGTATGGCAAGAACAGCCGGTACCCTCCCATTTCGACTACAGCCTATAACAACAGATTAAATGGCCTTCTTATCCTTTAGGATACCCTCCCATTTCACCTACGTCCCATTTCTTATTATGTATTTTTGTACTACATGTATTAAAGCAAGAACTGTCGGCTCTTTATATCTAAATCTTGCATAATGCTGCTTTAAACCTAGATAGCACTTGCGTGCATGAAACTCATTCCATTAAATGATAAATCTTGAATAATATTAACCGTTTCGCAGATCTATATTTTATTCAATTCCTAAAGGCTCCGCATTCCTTTAACAATAGGATAAATGGAGCAAATGGCTCAGTAGCCCGGATTCTTGAAAGCAACATCTCCATCCCAAATTAACAGAATAATGACCTTTTATTCGCATTGATTATTGATTTATATTATAGATGAAAGGTTGATATAACTCTTTAGATTAAAACTGTCTAGCTAGACGACTCTATTTTAATATTACACTAAGATATTGTCTTTGTTTTAGTTTTATTTTTTCTTCATGATCTTAGGTTAAGATCGTAATGGTGCATATTTCTATAGAATAAAAAAAAAACATGGTTGAACAAGTGTTTGAGCTCTGGTTATAGTTAAAGGAGATGAGATAAGATAAGAACAGCATGCATTACATTTAGAGTGGTTCACGTACATTTAATTATACACTTAATAATGCATGACATAAAATACACATACATGTAATAAATATATTATATATAGAATACATGAGCTATGAGCAGACAGACAGGGTGGAATACTGCTACACAAATGTTCATATTATTATTATTATTAATATATGTTTATACAAGTAATAATACAGTGGTTCCCAGCCTTTTATTGCCAACGGCACACCTTGGAACATATGAAAAAATAGCCGCACATCTGGCTAAATATATATGAAAAATATTTGAGTGAGAGAGAGAGAGAGAGAGAGGAGAAGGAGAGAGAGAGTTTTTGGGACTAACATATGGTGCAATTTCATTTCATTAATTCAGTTGTAATAATGTTGTTGAACATCCACTCGACACAAATAGGTTATTTCGGGACTAACACGTGGTTCAATTTTATTTCAATAAGTCACTTGCGCGTAGGGGTCTTTAGCAATGGAAGGAGGACCCGGAGAAATCCCACAAGGTAATTGGACAGGAAAAATCTGATTGAATTCAAGCAATCTAGGACATTAACTAGTATTGGTATTCTTATTTTGTTTTTTTAATTAAATGTTAAATAATCAATCTGAGTTCATATCTTTTAGCGTGGATTAAGCAGTTAATAATTTTATATTTTAACAAATGATGTATCATAACCTTAAGTAGCCATGAAGAATCTCTACTACAAGACAGGGGATCACGTGGCTAAGTGGGTGAGACGCTGGCTCACTAGCCTGGAGGTTGGGTGTTCGATCCCTGCATTGGCCGAGAAAGTTCATCCAGATTTTCCGGCATGGTTCCCCCTTGTCAGTGATGCAGGACGGAGGGCCTGACAAGGACAGCTGTCTAGTCCTTCGGATGAGACGAAAAACGAGGTCCCGTGTATACATTGGAATGTACGTTAAAGATCCCTTGGCAGTTGGAATTCGATATAAGAGTAGGCGATAGTGCCACTGCCCGGGCAAAATTTCCCTCATAGCACACTGTATGGCGTATGCCCGTCTTCATTAGCCCAGCATAGGAGCAGAACAGTAGGACGTTAAACCCC